TTGATGAGTTCTTAATATACCTATTGTTTGCTTTCAAAAAAAAAAAAAAATACTTTGAGCAGTTTTTTAAAATTTAGCATTTTGGAGCAATATATTGTTACAAAAAGCTAATTAATCAAACACTTATATTGATTATTTAACTAAGTCAAATAGCTAATAGTGATCAAATAAGCTAAAATGGAATGATAAAATAATTATTTTACCAAACATGGCCTAAATATTTGTAGAAATTTTAATACAAAATATACTATAATGGAGAGTTGAAATTTACAATTGTACTAATACGATTGATATCGGTGCTGATTAGTATTGTAAAATTTTTCTTTATGGTGTATTAATTAAATGTAAAGAAGAAATGGTAGCACATTGGGATGGGAAGTGATGGTGGACGGTGGAGAGGAGATAGGGAGACGCTAGCTAGTCCAACGGTGAGGAATAATTAGACACGGAGAGGGAATATTGGTGTTGGCACAATTTTATTTCAATAGACAAATGCTATCTGTTAAAACCTTGTGTTTTCTGGTTTTGGACTATTTCTACATCTACACTCTTACTCATACTCTAACCCCCCCTCCCCGCCTCCACCCACCCCACCAACTCCAAATAATCCTTTTTCCAAAATGTTAAATCTCTAACCCCAAGGGCCCATGGTCCTACATACGCACAAGGAATCTGTACACTTTGAACATAATTCTCACACTTTCGTTGCTGAGTTTCGAATCTTGATTGACTCTGTTACGATGTAATATCTGTTCATATATACTTTTTCAACCTATTGAAGCACAAAGAGTTAATATAGTCCCACTGAGACTTAAATCTATGACCAATAGAAGAGCCACTTCATGTCACTTGACCACGAGGTAATTGGTAAATGCAGTTATAATTAATTTGAAGAAAATGAAGGTAATATATAGAGGAGTAATAATGAAATAATTCAACGAGGCGTAACATGAACAGAAGGCATGGGCGGAGGTGATGCACATGCATGTGAGAGGGAGGCCCCGGTGTCGCCGTAGCTTCAGCCACAGTCTGACATCCGGCCATGCTTTCTTCATATATCCTACATTATACTACTATATATACACGTATAGTATATGCATATATATAATTATTTTATTTTTCACATTTCTTTAATTTTATTCGTCCTTTAAATAAAATAAAATATGGAGTAATAGAAAACCTTTGACACGTTATTATATTATATTATAGAGATTATATATAAAGGAAATAAAGATTGATGGTACGTGAGAATTAGTTTGATCGCACGTGTACAGCTAGATTTTTACTGGTCCAAGCTAAGCCTTTCCGTTCAACGTGCACACTTACATGGGCCATGGGGAAAACCTACCGCCGTATCAGATCTTATTAACAAAAATTATATAATAATAATAATAATAATAATACTAATAATAATTATTATTATTATTATTATAAGTCCATAATCATGTGAGAACAAAATTTATAATAGTTATTTATGAAAATGACCCTGTTCATTTTTACTTGATATATCATTCATAAGATATTGCAGATCAATGGTTTGAATTTGTCCAAGAAATAATTCTCATATGATTAAGATTATATATACTTTTACACATCACTGAATATGTATAAACATTTATCCCTTACAAATTTTAAAATATTTACAAAATTAACACTATATTTTTATCATTATTTTAAAATTGTTGATCATTACATATCAATGGTCAACATCAATCCGTAATTTTGACCGGGGCCTTGTTATCATTTCATCTTATTCTTATATTGTAATAATTATACATACTGAGTAGTGAGTACACAGTTATTACTATGTATCATGATGTTTGAGCTGTGGAAAATTTAGTCGGATCCATTATTAAATGCGATGCACAGATATTTTTGGTTTTTGGGGCAGAAATTAAATTTTTGTGGCCCATTCATTATAGAGCATGATTTTCTGCTGGCTCTCAATTTCGATATGTATGTGCATGCATGCATGCCGGGTCAAACACACAATAATGGAGAATGTCAAACATTGTAGAATGTCGCAAATTAAAGGTGGTCAATAATCCAATACCAATATAATCGCACAAAACAATAATAACAATTATCAAAAAGTAATTAATTACCGTAATTAAGGAGGGCAGCACAAGTAGTTTAAGGAGCTTTCATGACAGGGACACCTTGTAGGGTAAGACCGATAGCAACAAAGTTACAAGGGGACATGGGATATTGCAAGATTTTTGGCCTGCTTGCCAGTCAAGCCTCTTTCATGAAAATTATGGGGAATATTTTAGTTCCGGAAAAAAACATAATACTTTTTTTTTTTTGTTTAAACTCAAATTTTTAATTTCGTTGAACTATATTCTGGACCTATATATAAACCAACTCCAAAGTCCATGAATGATGCAAGTTCTTAGTTGCCTAAATTATTCAAGGTTCCAGGGAAAATATTATACGAGTGTTTGGTAAATAGTTGTTAACTGATTGAGTTAATGAGTTTGACTAGTTGATTGTAGAAAACTGTTGTTTGATAAATTAGCTATTAGTTGATAACTGATTACATGCAAAATGACTTTTTCAAAAAGCTAATCGAAAAAACTGATCAAAAAAAGTTACTTTAACTTGCTTTTTAAATTTTAGCATTTCAGAACAATAAGCTGTTACAAAAAGTTAATTAATCAAATGAAAAATGGCACTTTTTCCCCTTAAATTATATACTTATAGCACGTTTCCCCTCTGAATTATTTAAGTGGCTCTTTTTCCCCCTGAAATGTTAAATGGACATATTTACCCTTAAAATAAATATTTAAAATTAATATTTCATTTATTTTTATTCTCCAACAAATTATTACTATAATTTGGTTCAAACCAAACAGGTACTATAGCAACCAAACCAAAATATTCAAATTACAATTTATAATCAAAACGCGATATTTAGAGTTTATTAAAATCGCGAACCGGAATGACCGATTCATGTTCTGAACTGAAAAAATAAAATACATTTATTGTTGAAAATAAAATACATTTATTGTTGAATTTAACTATTTTAAAATAAAAAATAAAATTTTAAAATAAAGACGGTTCAAAATCGCGAACTGGATCCGGAACCGTCGGTTCACGGTTCATGATCCAGTTTTTTTTATTATTATTATTATTAAATTTTAATAAATTAAAATCCAAATATTGGGTTCTAGATCTGAATCATAACTGAAAACTTTTAATTCGATTGCTATAGTGTCTGGTTCAGTTCGAACCGAACCGTGGTAATCGCTACATATACACAATAATTTGTTGGAGAAGTGAAATAAATAAAATGTTTGCTTTAAGGGTAGAAATGTCAATTTAATATATTTGGAGGAAAAACCACCACTTTTAAAATAATTGAGGGGACTAATATGCTTACATAAATAATTGAGGGGGGAAAAGTGCTATAAGTATATAATTTAGGGGGAAAAAGTGCCATTTTCCCTTAATCAAACACTCATATTAATTGTTTAATCAAGTTAAACTGCTAATAGTAGTCAAATAAAACAAAATTAACTGATCAGGTAACTATGTTACCAAAAAATGCCTATAAATTATTATCTCATCAAATACAATCACAGTGTGTATATATATATATATATATATATATATATATATATATATATATATATATATATATATATATATATATATAATAGGTCACAATCCTTCTACAAAAGATAAATTACAGCAAGACTGCAAGAGAATGTGCCTATTACACAATTGGGAGATTCCATTTACAATTTTGTTTTCCACGTACATATATAATTCTTTCTGGGTGGCTCCACAATTTACAAAATTTTGTCAGTGATTCACAATATATATTGTTTCCATTATTTGTTTAAGAATTTTTGAAAAAAATATTTTATTCGATCTCTGGATCAATTCCGTTTATCTGCTATCGTCTATTATTTAAGAATCAAACCAACTTTTCTTTAGTTATTTATTTATTTTTAAGTATTTCTCAATGATTTTTAAATTTGAAATTTTAATTTGTATGTAATATATTATAATACATTTTTAGTAGTTTCTAATTACATAAATAATATCTTCTGCGAATGACCTTGACCTTGTGGTCTAGTAGACCCAAGTTGTTCTTCCATATGGGAAGTTGTGGGTTCGAGCCTCAATGTGTCAGTAGTACTAAAAAATAATAATAAAAAAGTGCAATTGGAAAAATCACAACTCTAGTTCATGGTAAACCATAAGTCTAGTGTATAAGGATTTTATCAACAAGAAGAAAAAAATGAGGAACGTTTTAATGTTATTTAAACATATTTGTTGACGGAAGACAAAAAATGGTCATGTCACAATAGACCAAAATGGTATTGTATTTAACGGCATTTAAACGATTTTGTTAATGGATGACAAAAAATGTTTATATCACAATAATACTACGATGAAACGAAAATATTTTGAAAAATATATATAAATGAACTAACATATATATTAAATCTATGACAAAAAAAAATGAAGTTAACTAAATTAGTTATATAAAAATTAATTTATAAATAAAAGTTTGCAAAATTATCTCAAGATGTAAACTTATGTAAGTTATGTTTAGGTATTAATAAAATAATGGAAAATTGTACAAAGTACAATAATATCTAATACTAAGACATTTTTGTGAATATAATTACACTTTTTACAGATGACTGAAACCTACAATCATTACCTAGAGTGTGCACTGTAGTACTGTACTTTTATATAGTCGACAAATCACGCAAAATAAGTAAATTGTACAAGGATGATACACCAATTCTCATGTTGAATTTTGTTGAGGGTATGTATCGTCTTGTGACCCTAATTGGTAATGATGATCAAAATGAGGTAATTAAATTAAAATAGAATTTGGAGTGAGTTTATCAAGTTAACAACCTGACCAACTTAATTGACTAGTTTGTCCCATCATATATATGCTTAATATGTATTAAGAAAATAAGAAATTTATTTGTTGTAGAAAATTCCAAAGGTATGTATGTAGCATGAGAGAGAGAATTGTTTGAATTCCCCGATATTGCAATGAATAGTTGCAGTATTGTTTTATCGAATTCCAACCATTCCCTCCTGCTGCCAAGCTAGCTACCTCATCACCTCCATTATATGTGCATAGTATCCATCCTTATTCAGCATAGTACTAGAAAAAAGATAAGGTTAAAGGCCAACCAACCCCCCATTCCCCAAACAAAACACACAAAGGTAGTGTTGTTGGAAATCATGTCCATGCTTCCTTAAATACAGTTTTCTTCTTTTCCATAGCTTTTCCCTTTCAGTGCTTCAACTCCCCAAAAAGACTCTTCACTTTCTGCTGTTTAAAACACACTTGTTTGTTTCTTCTATAGCCCCCCAAAAGCCTATTCTTCCAATTCCTTCCATCTCCATGGCCCAACATGCAGCTTTTATGATCGATTGATCGCCGCCGTTTGATCATTATATTCCTCAGCTCCGCCGACGAATCTTGGGTTTTCTTGATAAGTTTTTGCCGATGTTTTTGGGTTCAAACGCGGCAATGAGCGGTGGAGGTTCGGCGACTCTGCCGGATCTTTCTTTGCAGATCAGCCCGCCGTCGATTTCTAGCTTTGAGTTGCTTAGACAGCGCGACGGAATGGCGACGAATAAATCGTCGCCGTCGTTCTGTAATATTAATACCGACCGGAGCTCCAGCATGGATTCCGGCAGCAGCGGCGGAAGCGATTTGAGCCACGAGCATAACGGCGGCGTTAGTTTCTTCCCTCCTGGGTACCAACGGTCTGTGGAGCTGAGCTTGAGTCGTCGAGGGTTTGAGCTGGCGGCGGCGGCGGCGGCGGTGGGGTTGAGCAGCCCGCTATCCGTACAGCTTCAGAGAAACAGCGGCCTTGAGCTGCCGCAGCACCGCCACAATTTCCAGCCTCAGATATTCGGCGGCCGGGATTTTAAACGGAGCGGGAGGATGATCGGAGGAATGAAGCGCAGCGTTAGAGCTCCGAGAATGAGATGGACTTCCACTCTCCACGCCCATTTCGTTCACGCCGTTCAACTCCTCGGCGGCCATGAACGTAAGTCCTCAATTCCCCACGCTTCCATTTTCTCCACATTTTCCGATCAAAAAACTTATCTTTTTTCCGTTCATCACTGTCATCACAAAAGGAGCAACGCCGAAATCCGTTCTGGAGTTGATGAATGTCAAAGATCTTACCCTAGCTCATGTGAAAAGTCACTTACAGGTATATTATTCCTAACGCCATATTTCAATCAATCTATTCATGAACAAAACGGATCTCACTGTGAATGGAGGTTACAATAAGTTAGTAATCAAATTGTTGACTTAGTAACCACCACTTTACAAATTCGGCTTATAGCCGAAATGGGGTTAGGATGGTTTACCTCTTTGTTATTTTTTGTTGTTTAAGGTTAAACCAGACAGATTTTATTCAGAGTACACCCTCGAATAGTAATAAGCAGTTTTTTCTGGTAAAAAAAAAAAAAAAAGAACGGTGATGGAGGAAGCTAAGAAGGTAATCTTAGCAATGTAGACTAATGCTTCTTTGTCTGGGTATTCATGCAGATGTACAGAACAGTGAAGAGCACTGACAAAGCACCAGGTACCATTTCCATGGATTTTCTCATTTTTATTTGAAGGTTTCATTTCACCCTCCAATTATTATCATATTCTTGTCAGATTGGAAGTACTACAAAGCTGAAAATACCCTGTTCTTCAGGGAACTGCATTAATTACTGTCAAGAAAAAAAGAAAACACCATAGAAAACAAAAAGTAAAGATCAGAAACCATGTAAAGTTAGCACGCACTGCACTTGATACAAGTTTGAATTTTTCTTTAATGGGTTTATGAATTTGATGCGTTCTGATCTGCTAGCTAGCTAGCTTCAAAATCTTCAACTAATTAATGAATTTTGTTGAGCAAAAAAAAAATAAAATTATTAATGAATGGTTTGAATATGTAAATATACAGGCGCTTTACAGCAGTCTTGTGAGAAGGCAGAAGACATGATATCAACGCCACCATCATCACTACAAACCACCACACCAAGAAATGCTCAGAGGTGAGTGTGCACTTCAATTCCCAGCTAGCTAGCTCTTATTATGATTCCTTTCCTTTTGTTCTTTTCCACTTTTCTCAGTTTTTAATTTCCTTCTTCCATCATTGCATTTTGAACCATCTATTTTATATATGTGTATATATATATTAGAGACAAACATTCATGCAGACAGACAAAAAACCCAACCACAAAGTGGTATGTACAACAACGTAGCTTCTGCTACCTACAACTACTCCCAAAGAATGCCTTAGCCGCTTGTCCACAGAATATTTCTTTCCGGTCCATGATAATATCATTGGTCTAATGGTATTGGTTGAGTTTCAAGTACACATCTTGGTGTAACAATTTAAAAGTGATGGCTTAGGGTTTTGTATAGTAGTAGGTTAAATTATAATGGGCACATTTTACCATCAGCCCAACTCAAACCGAGAAGGTTACCAAGCCAAACAGTTAGACTAACTCAGTTTGAGTCTCATCCTTTAATAAAATATACATAATAACACAATCAGTTAACCATAGTTTAAAATTAAATCCAAAATTTCAAAACACTAAAAAGTGACCAGAAACCTAGAGTTTATTACGGTAGAAAAACTTAATCGTTCCCGTGACTATTTTATTTATGAGTCTTAGACTAAAATTAGTCCCTAAATGAGAACCATTAGTAAATTATATTTAGGTTAAAAACTAAGAACTTTATAGTTGGGTAACACAAACATGAGAGTGTGTATAAAAACTTTCGAGTTAGAATAAGTCTCTGGTACGAAATAACATGTTTTTTAATTAATTCATAATACTGTTATGGGTAAAGAAAATAAAAATTGAAAAAGAAAATGTTGGGGAAAAAAAGTCAAAGAAAAGGAGTCCATAGGCTCAAATCTCTAGTATTTCCTCCGAATTAATGTAGTTGGCCTTATCCTAGAATTTCTAGGAAGGTGGTAGGGGTCTGTCGGTTTGTACACATCTTTTAGTGTTGAGCCGAAGCCAAACGACACGGTATTTAATGTTTCTATATATCCCTCTGTTGGGCTGTACCAAATTAATTAACGTTGTTTAAATCATGACCGGCCAACACTGCCCCATTAATTCATCTATCAATCAAAGATACGAAAACGAAAGGTGGCTAACTTTCTGCTCTCCCATCTCTATCGTATTCCGTAACTTCATTAATAACGTTTGTTTCAACTTTTTCAGAGCTTCTTGGCCGCCATCCTTGCCGGAACCAAACCCCCTTTTCCATCCTCATCTCCGACAGAATCATGCCGCCGAGGTACATATATCTTCCATCATACATTTTAAGAACTCTTTTTAGGCCGATTCATAAGTTGTTCATAGCTAATTAGCTCAAATTAAGAAGGCCTATAGATTGTGTTGAGTTATTTTTCTCTTAAAGAGTATATTCGTCAAGATGGAGATTGTTGAATTATCTTTTCTCCTAAAGAACATATTCCTGTACAAAAGGTTTGCCCACTTCACTCTCATTCCTAGTATAAGACAAACTTATATTCCTAATTCTGAGACAAACTCATATTCCTAATTCCTATGAGACAAACTCAACAATCTTCATCTTGGGCGAATATGTTCTCTAAAAGAAAAGATAACTCAACACCTGCTCGTTAGAATTAAACTTATAATTTTGTAGTTAGCAAATCAACAACTAGACCAATTTGGTCGGGAATGTAATTTTGAACCCGAATGTTTTGCAGATGGATGGACGAGATGATGGCACGGGTCGTGAGTTGTGTGAGATGAAGGGGAAGTTCGATAGGCTTAGCAGCTCATCCTTGTCATCTTCTTCAGACACTTTTGTTAATCTTGAGTTTACACTATGAAAGCCGCCATGGAAGATCTGAAATGGATCATATATGAATAGATGGATATATATATATGCAGGATAGATCCTGGAATGATCTGATCTGATCTCCGCTGCCTAACCCTAGCTAGCTCTTCAAGTGTTAGAGAGGCTACATAATTACTTTGACCCCCAGTTTTTCTTCTGTAACTGCATGCATGGAAGGAATCTTCAAGACTGGATTCTTAAATTTTTGTCTGGTTCATAGAAGATGTCGAATGAATCGAATAAAATATAAATGCCGCATGCATGTAAGTTAATATGGACGAATTAGGTGACTATTAGCTATGCTAATCTATTTTGCCCCACAAGTATAAATCATTAATCTTTTAACATTATGTCATGTCATTTTCATACTATGATCGTTAATCAGACCATTTGAATATTCAATCACTATTATAGTAGCTAAAATAAACTGATAAAACGAAATACCTATCATTCATGATCACTATTTTTGACCAATGAAACGAAAAAAAAGGTAAAAACTCGCAATTATGGATCACTGGATTGGTGCATATATTGGATTGCTACATGTAAAACATTTAAGTTGCTTAGAGTTTTAGGTGAAGATATGGATGGATGGATGTATAAGATTCCACTAAAGAAGAGGGCATTACTTATTAGAGTCAGTAGTGTTGCAGATATATAGTCAACCAAAGATGTGTGGTTATTTCTGGACTCTGAGGTTTATCAGTCACCGGCCGGTGAATATATCTTTGACTTTTGTTTGTAATGGTCCAATATCAAAATGGGGAAGGACAGTGGAAGCAGAATAATTAAGCCCCAGAATAATTATTAAGCGCAATTCCTTCTGGATGGGTCTTATAATGTTTCCGAATTTAATGTTCGGACCGACACAGCTACACACATACCAAGATAATAAGTGATATGATGTAACACCAGTCAAGTTGATTAGAAAATTCGTTAACTACAAAGTTTCGAAGTTCGACCCTACAGAACTGTATATTGACTTAGCCAATAAACTAATAAAAAATTAATATATATATATATATATATATACAGAAGCCAAATTACCAAAATAAAGAACTATATATATGAACTTGCTACATACCCTTTTAATTCAAGAGGCAAAAACTAAACTCTTTTAGTTTCACAATTCCAAATGAAAGATTCAGCCTTATTTCCGTTGTAGCCCAGCTATGTTTGCCTTTCTAATAAACTTAAGATCCATATAAGGAAAAGGCAGCATGGTTGAGCCCAACAGGCAACAGTCTATATTTCCACTAAAAAATTTCTCAAGAATTTTTTGCTTCAAGATTGGACGTATAGTACGTGATTTATCAAACATATAAATATACATTTAGGGGCCAACTTTTATGCTGTTTGGTTGGTGAATCCTAGGTTAACCCAAACTCAGTTAAAATCACGTTTATAGAGTTTGAGCCTTTGTTTAGTAATTTGTAGTTGCACTAGCACTCTACTTACTAATTGTCTTAAACTATTGTGATACTTTTGTTTTTATTTGTTGGTTATTTCACTTATTTGTGAATGAACTTTGGTTCAATCGTGTTATCTTGGAATAATGTGTGATGAAAAATACTTTGGTCAAATAAACACTGCATTTCCCTATGGATTTTATACCAACATGCATTAAAATGGAAAATGGCATGGTGTATGCAGCTGCAACGTTACTGTACACTGCTGACTTTTGCACAAAAACTAGCCTGAAAGAATCCTGTTTTTTTATACATACTCTATAAGAATATATGATATGACGCAGACAAAAATTTAGTTATGATTCCTTAATATGCTTGACACTTCAAATAATAATATGTGAATATTACCAAGCTAAGTCAATCAAATGTATGGAGAACATATTATATATACATAATCTATAAGAATATATGATGATGCAGACAAAAATTTAGTTATTCTTTATTTTTGTTTTGAAATATTCATGATTCAAGGTAATATATGTTTTATACTTTTACAAACATTTTCAGCCTAAAAAATCTAAGTTGATCATATAATATATAAACATAAATGTCAATCCCACTATCAGCTTAGACTTTTAGTTGAGATGGAACACATGCTTCAATTTGGTATAGAGTCAATCTAATGCCAAATGTAATGGTAACCGGGATGCCATCACTAAACAGACTACTGTTTCTTTAGCACATTTAATAGTGATGGTGATGAGATTCGAATTAAATCTATCAGAAATTATTTTTTTTATATAATATTATGCAGAAGTCACACCATAAAGTTGACTTTTCACTTCTACCATGCTAGCGACTCTCACGGAGCATGAATTCTAGGATGTTTCATGCAGACTAATGTTTGAAAAGTAGGTGAAAATCCACTTATAAATTCATAGGATTTCATAATGTATTGTAACAAGTTCAATCAGATCAGTTTTCCAATTTCTCGTTATACTAAACCATGGATACTTTGAACTTTTTAATGATTGGAACATTTTTGTCTGCAATCTTTCTCTATTATGGTTGGATCATTAGAGGAACACAGAAGGGAAAAGTTAACCAAAAGGGTGGCAGTGAAGCCCCGGAGCCAGCCGGTGCATGGCCGGTCATCGGTCACCTCCCCCTACTCGGCGGCGCAGATCAACTTCTCTATCGCACTCTCGGCGCCATGGCCGACAAGTACGGCTCAGCATTCAATCTTCGGCTGGGGAGCCGCCGTGCTTTCGTGGTAAGTAGTTGGGAAGTGGCTAAAGAATGCTTTACTACAAACGATAAAGCCCTAGCGAGCCGTCCCAAGACCGTAGCCGCCAAGCATATGGGCTACAACTACGCCGTCTTCGGCTTCGCGCCATACACTTCATTTTGGCGCGAGATGCGAAAGATCGCGATGCTGGAACTCTTGTCGAATCGACGGCTGGAAATCCTTAAGCACATAAGGTTGTCGGAAATGAATTTGTGTATTCGAGAGTTACACGAGTTATGGGCTAAAAACGGCGGCTCCGGCGGCGGCCATGTTCTCGTTGAACTCAAACGTCGTTTTGAAGAGATGTCGTTAAATATGATTGTCCGGATGGTGGCCGGAAAGCGTTACTTTGGTGGCGCCGGAGAAACTTGTGATGACGGCGGAGAGGCGAGGCGATGCCAAAATGCTATAAATAAGTTCTTCCATTTGATTGGTATTTTTGTGCCGGCGGATGCGCTACCATTCCTGCGGTGGTTGGATTTGCATGGGCATGAGAAAGCCATGAAAGCAACGGCGGCGGAGCTGGACTCTATACTCAATGGATGGGTGGATGAACACCGCGAGCGGCGGAGATCCGGCGAGGTTAAGAGTGAGGGTGATCAGGACTTCATCGATGTTATGTTGTCCCTCCAGGAACAAGGCCATTTTTCAAACTTCCAATATGATCCAGATACCACTATAAAGTCTACTTGCCTGGTACGTCCAATAGTAAAAGAATTCAATCGTAAATGGCTTAAAAGTTATCAATATCCTTCATACATATATAGTGACCTATTGGTTTTCTGATCTTAATTTGCGTTGATCAGTTAAGCAATATAAGCTGATTTACCTAATTGTTGAGGAAAATCTTTAATTTCAGGCATTGATTCTGGGAGGCAGTGACACGACAGCAGGAACATTAACATGGGCCATTTCGTTACTACTAAACAACCGAGAAGTAATGAGGAAGGCTCAAGAGGAGATAGAACTCCACGTTGGCAAGGACAGGCTAGTCGAGGAATCCGATGTTCGAAACCTCATCTATATTCAATCCATTGTTAAAGAAACATTAAGGTTATATCCAGCCGGTCCGCTCCTAGGGCCGAGGGAGGCCATGGAGGACTGCGTTGTGGCCGGTCACAATGTCCCGGCGGGCACTCGTTTGATCGTGAACGTGTGGAAAATTCAAAGGGATCCCAGGGTTTGGGAAGATCCTAATGCATTTAAACCAGACAGATTCTTGAACAGAGCCCAGAACGTTGATTTAAGGAGCCAAGATTTCGAATTGATGCCGTTTGGGTCAGGGAGACGATCTTGTCCAGGAATGTCGTTTGCTCTTCAGGTTCTTAACCTCACATTGGCTCGTATACTTCAGGCATTCGACATGGCGACGCCGTTGGGTGAGGCGGTGGACTTGACTGAGAGCCCTGGCCTTACTATACCCAAAGCAACGCCACTGGAAGTTGTTCTTACACCCAGGCTCCCAAACAACCTTTACATATGAGTGCTCTTAGCCTATATATATGTTTGACCTGTGCCTCCACTTCATCATATCATGCAACAAAATAAAATGAACCCCAAGTTGTTTTTCTTTCACCTTTAACTGTGTACTGTGTTAGAGTGAAACAATTAAAAGTGTATGAGTACACTTTGTGACTCTCAATCTTGAAATTCTGCTATGTAATAATACTTTGGAATAAGGGTCGAATATTCATGGCACATAATGTAATTAGGCCACTAAACCTAAAAAAAAACTACTATTGAATTCCTAAACTAACCAATTTCATGCAATTCCTTTAATTGGCAGGTCTTCTCTGTTTCTAATAGGTTACACAAATTTAATTTTTTTAAAAAACTTTTTTAAAAGATAATTATTTAAAAATATAATAAATAAATAAATAAACTTTGTTCGTCTCCGGTGGAGACGAAGAAGATATCATCGTATGTATATGGATGAACTATTTAACTTTTATTCCTAATAGTTTATTATTAGAGACAGTGGCTGAAAAGCTTTAATTCATTCCTCTTAGCTTTATATATAGTGGAGCACATTAGAGTCATTTTCATCTCTGATCAGCACATGAAAAGTGTGGTAGGTAGCAAACACATCATAGTGGAGCACAAAAACAACTTATAAACTATACAATTTAAGTATTAATTTCTCGAAGAAGGTATTGTATATGTACTCTAGTGCATGCATGCAAACCTACTTTGCTTTTCAATGTGGAATGGAACTTTTTCAAGTCTTTCCTCATTCATTTTTCAACTCAAATGTTATACTTTGAACGTACAATTCTTCATCTCACTTCGTGACTTCGAAGAACCTAAATTCATTTTGACCCACTCAAATCAGAGATGGACTTCACTTTGATATTTATATTACAAAATAGTCACTTAAAATGTTATTTTATACTCTTTTTTTTCAATAATGTCATGTATGCCAAATGTCAATTATTTTTTCATTATAAGTAAAAAGAAGTGATAACAGTAACTTGCATGAGGGCTACAAGACAAACAGAATCTATCATTTTCATCTCCAGACGAGCAAAAGTAAGTATATAATCACACACCAAAAGTTTCCATACACCACACGGTCCACACATCAATTAACCAATTCACACCAGAACCATGGAGTTTCTTCTCCAAAACCTTAATACTTCACTTATTGTTCTAGCTATTGCCTTTTCTATAATTTTTCATTATCTTGCTCAAAATAACAAGTATCAAAAGCAAAAATCACCGCCTGAAGCAGGTGGCGCGTGGCCAATTCTAGGTCACTTTCTCACCTTCAGCCGCCGCGAAAAGCTTCCTCATGTAGCCCTGGGAGAAATGGCAGACAAGTATGGACCAGCCTTCACTATCCGGATAGGTATGCACAGAGTGTTAGTGGTCAGCGATTGGAAAGTGGCCAAAGAACTCTGCACTTCCCACGACGTTCACATTTCATCTCGCCCCAAGTTTCGAGCCGCCAAACACTTGGGCTACAATTACACTATGCTTCCTTTCACTCCCTATGGTCCTTACTGGCGCGACGTTCGCAAACTTGCTGCCACAGAGCTACTCTCCAACCGACGGCTCAAGCAGTTCAAGCACATAAGAGTGTCCGAGATCGAGACATCCTTAAAGGAGCTCTATAAGCTTTGGACGGAAAAGAAGAATCCGAACCATTCCGGTCGTGTTTTGGTGGAAATGAAGAAATGGTTCAGTGACTTGACATTCAATGTGTTGCTTCAAATGGTGGCCGGAAAACGATACTTCGGTACATCAGCGGTTGGTGATGAAGAAGAGGGGCGACGTTGTCAAAGGGTTATTAGAGATTTTGTTAAATTTCTTGGGGTTTTTGTGCCAGCAGATGCCCTGTCTTTCTTAGGATGGTTAGATATTGGAGGGTATGAGAAAGCCATGAAAGAAGTTGGTAAAGAAATGGACTCTCTTTTTGAGGAATGGTTACAAGAGCATCGTCTGAAGAAAGAGACCACGGGTGGCGGCGAGGAAGATTTCATGGATGCGCTGCTTTCACGAATAGAAGAGATTGATCTTAATGGTATATCAAATAAACAATTCTCTTCTATTGTTTAAATTTTATATCAGAGTTTGATTGCTGGAGGAGCAGATACGACCATGGTCATGCTAACATGGGTTTTGTCTTTGATGATGAACAATCCCCATGTATTGAAGATGGCTCAAGAAGAATTAGACAGGGTAGTTGGCAATGAAAGAAAGGTGAATGAATCAGACGTTAATAATTTGATGTATCTTCAAGCTATTGTCAAAGAAACATTTAGATTGTATCCTGCTAGTCCACTCGGAATTCAAAGAATATTCAGAAAAGATTGCATCATATCTGATTTTCATATTCCAAAAGACACTTGGCTATTCTGTAATGTGTGGAAACTTCAACGAGATCCACAAATTTGGTCTAGCCCTCTGGAATTCAAACCTGAGAGATTTATCAATTGCAATAAGGAGATTGATGTTTTGGGTCGTGATTTTGAATTGATTCCGTTTGGTGCTGGTAGAAGAATGTGCCCAGGAACAACTGCTGCTCTTCAGATGTTGCACTTGATCTTGGCTAATTTGTTACATTCTTTTGAGCTCTCGAATGTCTCTAATAAGGAATTGATATGACTGAGACAATTGGACTAAGCAACTTCAAAGGCACACCTCTTAAAATTTTTATAGCTCCTCGTCTCTCTTCTCATTTTTATTAGTCAACCACATATTAATTACAGTTAATACCCAAAATGGTCTCTCGACTATGTCATAATTATCAATTTGGTCCTCAACTACTATTCTTACCCAATTAAGCCCTCAACTATGTAACTTTTACTCAATTAAGTCCTCAACTATACAATTCTTACCCAATTTAGTCCTCAACTATACAATTCTTACCCAATTTAGTCCTCTGTATTAATTTGACTGTTTGTTGACTGTCAAAAGTCGGGATAAAATTATAAATTTACAAGATTTCTCCTTCCTCTCCATTTAGCAGCGCCAAACCATGCAGCAATACACTCCGATCAGATTTCAATTGTTAAAAAATCGTTGGAAATCAGATTCATGGGCTATCCGATGCATAACCACTACTTCGATACTGACAGGTTTAGAACCCAACCGGAGCTTATTGCTACATGGTTTGGCGCTGCTAAATGAGGAGGAAGGAGAAAACTTGTAAAATTACAACTTTATTTCCACTTTTGACAGTCAACAAACAGTCAAATTGACAAAGGACTAAATTGAGTAAAAATTGTATAGTTGAGGACTTAATTGGGTAAGAATGATAGTCGAGGACCAAATTGGTAATTACGACATAGTCGATGGACTATTTTGGGTATTAACTCTATTAATTAATATGTCTGTGTGTTTGTATGTGTGTATGTATGTTCACTTGAAAGTGCTCCCACGGACATGATGATTTACCATATCTCTGTGGCTTGTATGTAAGGTACTTTCAGTTCTACAATGTAAAATTACATGAATAAAAAGACTTGTTATTCCTGTTAATAACCCATAACTGTTTTGTAGATATTTTTAAAAATTGATAGTGTAATTTTTCAGAAAATAGAAATATATATGATTTCCTACTTGAACCAAGACTATGTGGTCTAATGGTACCCGGGTTAGATTTCCATTTGGAAAGTTACGAGTTCGAGCCTCTGATTCATTGTGTTTCAATAGGTTGAGAAAGTATATGAACAGATACTACAATGTAATAGGGCTAGTAATACTCAAAAACAAAATGATTTCCTACTTGAAATTCTTAATTATAACTCTTCATCTTTCTACAATTCTACTTGTCTTTGTAGTCAAAGCATATAACAAAAGTGAATTGCAGTAATAGAAAGATTAAGTGTGAGAAAGCAAGAACTAAATATGTGACCTTAAGATATATTAATTATATTTTTACCACTTAGTCACTAATTCGAGACTGAGGATTATATTTGAATTTCAATATGCGACATTATGCGTACTACTCGCTATACAGAGCCGCTCTGCATCAATGCTAGCAGCCACAAGTAAGCAGAGTCATTTACATTGTCAGATAGATCAGCACGCAAAATTTGGGTGCATAATTTTGATGGAAATATATACGACGACAAATTAAAAGTGGAACACATGGCAGAACAGTACGTACTAATAATACATGCTAAAAGACAAGTGTAGTTTAACTTGCATGAGGGCTAGCCGACACAAACGGAATCATTTTTATATCCAGACGAGCACGTAAAACGTGAAATGCCTAATTTTGATGGAAGTATATGCATCGACCCAAAAGTCAGTATATAATCACACCAAAGTTTCCATACACCACACATCAATTAACCATGGAGTTTCTTCTCCAAAACCTTAATACTTCACTTACAGTACGTTTGATTCGCGGAATGAATTTTAAGGGAATAAGAATCTTATTCCATAAAGAATGGAATAGGTAAGAAATAGAATATAAATTGTGTTCTGTTGTTTGGTTCGGTGAAAGAATAGACTTTAGGAATGTTATTCCAGTGTTTGATTGGTTTAAGGAATACAAAGGTAATATATGTGTAAAAGACATAACTACCCTTATACAAAATAATAATAATAATAATAATTATTATTATTATTATTATTTTTATTATTATAAGATAAGATTAAGATTTATAAATAATACTCCGTATTATTCATTATCAATTAGAAGCCTTCGTCCGTCTTATTCTGATATCATCCCTGGAGTCCGGCGATCTCGTCCAGAATCGATGGATGAAGCGGTCGGCGATCAAAAACCTCCAGGCCGGCGATGGCCCTCCACGACCTTCCAGAACCTTCGCCACGCCTCAGCAACATGATCGCCATCGTAAAATTGGGGACCGGTCCCGAACCAGTATTCGTCGTTGGAGGCTTTCCCGGGCGATGGAGTCTTTGCATGGACGATCAGAGGGTGGCGATGGTCTTAGGGAGGTGTCGCGAACACGGCCCACAGATCAGATGGTGGATCGGCGTCCTCCGGAATTTCCGAAATCTGTTAACCTTCGCGAACCAGTTCGACAGCTAGCCCCTTTACAATGCAACAGACGGTGGTAATGGTCCCCATTTCCGAAGTTGTATCGCCCATTTCTGAAGTTGTATCGCCATTTGTGTCAGAGTTGATGTTGCGTTATTGAGTAATCCAACTGTGGGCGGCTATACCAGTAGGTAGGGGCTGTTGAGTTTTTGAGTAATCCAAAATCTTTATTCCTAGTAATGAAGGTAATTGATCAAATAATAAATTGACTGATGCAGGGAATGTAAGCTTATATGTTTTCTTCGTTGTTGTACTTACAGATGGGGATGTCGAAAGCTTTAGATTGGTCCCCATTTATGAAGTTGCAAATATAATCAGGAGACCTTCATTTTTCAAAGCAAACTGCAATGTTGTTATAACCGAATCAGTTCGACAGCCCCTTAATGAAACCTTAGTTCCGGTCATAGGCGAGGTGGCTATCGTTGGCGATGAACTTGTTGACCGGCGAGAGGGCACGGTTGTAACTGGAGGAGATGTTTCTATGCCGGTGGTCTCATCGGCACTGCCCGAGTCTGTTGTTGTGGCGGAGTCTCCGTCCTCGGTTGAGGTTGTTGGTGGCCACCGAGGTTGTTGGTGGCGGAGGCTTGCGCTCGATCTCTCAGACTTGGTGCTGCGACCTTACATGGTTTCGAGACTCGGGCCAATGCAGTGGTGTCAGAAAAAATACAAAGACCAGAAAGGGTAAAATAGGAAATAAAATATAAAATTTATTCCTTGAGTTTTCAGGAATAGGTTAATACGAGGGGCTCTAGTAATAACTATTCCCCTGTAGGAGGAATACGTCATTCCATGAAACATTGATCCTGAGAATAAAAATTTTTACTAAACAAAGGAATAGGCCTATTACTGGGAATGCTATGTCAACCTTTTCTATACTTTTTCATTATCTTGTTCAAAATAACAAATTTTTTTTCATTATCTTGCTCAAAATAACAATTTTTTAATAGACACTAAAAGAAATACAATAATTTTTTAAGAATATAAACTACTATCTTTAAAAATATACTGCACAAAGATCAATAAATAAGAGAGAGCCAAAATCTAAGATTATATGTTGAATTATTTAAACTTTTGGTTCAATATCCAAACAATTATCAAAGAAATGCTAGAGTAGCTCATTTGATCGCCAAAGAAGTTTATACTTTAATGCTAATAAAAAAAAAGTAAGAAAGTTATTATTATATTAGATTATAGATGATGTTAATTAATTGTTAGGATGCTAAATAACGAAGAATGCTCGAGAAGAGATAGATCTCCATGTTGGCAAGGACAAGTTAGTTGAGGAATCTCATGTAAGAAACCTCATCTATATGTCCAAACAGGGGGCAAATTATGTTGTGGACTCGTGTTCACAATGCATTGTGGACACACGCGAGTCCAAAACGACGGCATTCCAGTTAAAAAAAAATAATAATTTTGTCTCGTCGTTAACGGCGTTATTCGTTTGTGAAATTATGAATGTACGGTTATGGAATTATGAACACATAGCTCTGACATTATGAACTTACAATTATGAATATATAGTGATAAAATTATGAACATAGAGCTCTAAAATTGTGAACATAGAGCTTCGAAATTTATGAATGTACAGTTATGGAATTATGAACACAGAGCTCTGACATTATGAACTTACAATTATGAACATATAGTGATAAAATTATGAACATAGAACTCTAAAATTGTGAGCATAGAGCTTCGAAAATTATGAATTTACAGTTATTGAATTATGAATGTACAGTTACAGAATTATGAATGTATAATTATGGAATTATGAACACAGAGCTCTGACATTATGAACATATAGTGATAAAATTATGAACATATGCTCCTATAACGAAGCGGTCTGAAATTTAAAACAAAAAATGGTGAAAGATAACGGTGCCACTAACGGCACCTTTACCGTATCCACAATGTATGTTGGACACGGGTCCATAGCATAACGATTGCAAATAGGGTATACCCTTACATTAAGGAATCTCTTGTAAGAAACTAGTTGAGGAATGCTAATATAAAAAGTATAATCTTAGTGTTTCTTTAAAAATTGACTGATAAGATAACTATGTTACCAAACAGGGTCTTTGTGTATTTTAGAGTATCAATAAGTAGGGTCAACCCAACTAAGTTGGTCATTATAACTTTAATGTTTACAAATCATAACTTTCTTTTATAGCAATGAGATGTTTAATTTTGATAGCTGAGAAGCATTAATTCTTTCTTCTCTAAATTTTAGTGTATATATGCATAGATGTTGAAATGATTATTTATCTTTTGGGCATAGTCAAGGATTCATAGCCCTAATAACATGGATCGGCGTATATAGATTTTCATATGTACGTACACGATATATAATTTGGTGAAAAATGGACTTGCTAACCGTCAAGTATAGTTTAAATTGTACATTTCGTACCCTATAAAGATTTTTTTTTTTTTTTAAATACAGATTCATTTTCTATCTTCTAATGTACTGATGATATAATGTTGTATATATAGATAGAGTGTGTACGGATGTATAATGTTGTCCTCAGCGGATTAGGTGTTATAGTGTGCAATATAATTATAAACAATTAAACACTAGTATTAAAAAAAAAAAAAAATCAAAAGCTAAGTAACCATGAACAAAATAAGACAAGCACATATTAACAAGATAAACACAAAATAAGGAAACAAACTATCTAATAGGATTAGGAAGAACACATAATTGAGAAATTGAGGAGATGCAAACACAAAATTACACTCTAAAAGTCATTCCTGTGATCATCTAAACAAGAATTATGTTTGGAATTGCCCAATCTCATGACTTATCAATTCCAATTTGTCTTTCAAACACACAAGCATATAAATAAAAAATAAATAAATAAATAAACTATTTCATTTATATTTTACAGTGGGAAATAAAGATTATGTAATGAGTAGTTTGAAAATCGATCCAAGTCTCATTGTAGTCAAAACATGCTAATGAATGTCACGATTCAAACATTAACAATATGCAAAATTGATCCGTTTTGTTTAAATACGCGAGTTTGTACATGATTAATCAAATGAAACAAATAAGAATTTTTTAAACATAATATCTACATTTTAAGTACAAAATATATATTAAACATGCATGGGGTAAAATATGACAAATAAAGAACTAAAGTATGGTGTCCAAAACTCATCAATCCTTAACCAAAGGTCAAGCATTTGATCCTTAGCTTTGGGTATGGAACAACCTTAAATCTCTAAGCCAATTGTCCGGTCTGTCTCACCCAATAGAGGTGTCTACAATTCAGCGAGGAGATTAGTCATTGTGTCGGACGGTGAAAACTCTGGACTAAAAAAAAAAAGAGAAGAAGTATGGTGTCCAATTGTGAAGGAAATATATAAAGGACATCGCAAAGTACATGGCGACAATAACCGAATTATTTGCTACGGCCACAGTAACCCAATTAAATTATTATAACCCGGCCTAGGATCAGCACCTCAATTTACGCTAACCCAATGAAATATAGATATATTTACACCCTATGCCGGAAATAAATCAGTATATAATCACATGTCAATTAAACCAGGGCTCATTCAAACCAGAACCATGGAATTTCTTCTCCAAGACCTTAACACTTCAATTATTGTTACAGCTATTGCTTTTTATGTAGTTTTCCATTATCTTTCTCGCAATAATAAATCTGATCATAAGCAAAAATCACCGCCTGAAGCTGGTGGAGCTTGGCCTATTCTCGGCCACTTATACCTTTTCAGAGGTTCTAAACTTCCTCACGTAGCCCTGGGAGACATGGCCGACAAGTATGGACCAGCCTTCACTGTTCGGATTGGCGCGCACAGAGTGTTGGTGGTCAGCGACTCGAAATTGGCCAAAGAACTCTCCACTGTCCACGACGTTCACATTTCGTCTCGTCCCAAGTTTCGAGCCGCCAAAAACATGGGTTACAACTACGTAATGTTTGGTTTCTCTCCCTATGGGCCTTACTGGCGCGAGATTCGCAAGCTTATCTCCATAGAACTATTGTCACGCCGGCGGCTTGAGCAGCTGAAGCACATAAGAGTGTCCGAGATCGATACCTCTATAAAGGAGCTGTATAAGCTTTGGACTGAAAATAAAAATTCAGACGACCATTCCGCCGCCGGCCGTGTTTTGGTGGAAATGAAGAAGTGGTTCGCGGACCTAACACTCAACGTGGTCCTTCAAATGGTGGCCGGAAAACGATACTTTGGTACTGCGGCGGTTAGTGATGAAAAAGAGGGGCAACGTTGCCAAAGGGTGTTGAGGGATTTTGTTAAATTTGTTGGGGTTTTTGTGCCGGCGGATGCCCTGCCTTTCTTGGGATGGTTCGATATCGGGGGATATGAGAAATCCATGAAAGAAGTTGCTAAAGAAATGGACTCTCTTATGCACGAATGGATACAAGAGCACCGTCTAAAGAAAGAGGCGACGGCCGCGGGTGAGGGATGTATTGTCATTGGCAACGAGAAAGATTTCATAGACGGGATGCTTTCACGAATAGAAGGGATTAATCTTAATGGCTGTGACACAGACACCGTTATCAAATCTACGTGCTTGGTATGTACATGCGCTCTTGATTTATTATGGAATTATCATTTTTGAATTTATTATGTCCTCCATGCATACTTTAAAAACGTGCATACAGCCCCGGGCTTACCGCAGTGGTTCGTTGTCTGACTTGATTTCACGAACCATTAAAGGCGATATCTCTTGTGCGTCCATAAAGACTTACAACACTTGGTTCAAAGAATAAATTTGGGATTGAATGATAATCTCATAAACATGCTTATTCCATTGTTGGTTAATGCCTTTTATTCTAAGAAACGTGGTTCCCCGGAATGAGCTATTCTCCTTGCAAGGGAAATAGCGATTCCAAGCCCCACAGTATTAGGCTATTCTTAGTTCTCAAGAATAATCTAAATTTGTTATTTTCTATTTTATTCCCAATTAAACCTAAAATTTGTTTACGCTTTTTAATCCATATCGTAATACTTCTTTATCAACGATACGACACTTGCATGTCTTTCAGGTTCAAGCTTTCAACTTCACATCAATATATTTCCTAAACTTTTATATATATATATATATATATATATATATATATATATATATATATATATATGTGTGTGTGTGTGTGTGTGTGTGTGTGTGTGTGTGTGTGTGTGTGTGTGTGTGTGTGTTTTTTAAAAAAAAAAATATATATATTTTATTTCTATTATTTCTTAAACTTATAAGCAAACAATAGAATACAATTCATGTCTATTCTCTTGAAATTCATTCCGCGAATCAAACATGCTATTAGGGTTAATCTAGTGAAACTGAGATACCTAAGTATAAAAAACGTACATACAACTTTAATATATATAAAGTATTAAATACATCATTTTCTTTAACTATTTAAATTTTGTATATTAGAATTTGATTGCGGGAGGAGCAGATACGGTCATGGTCATGCTAACGTGGGCTCAAGAAGAACTAGATATGGTGGTTGGCAAGGAAAGAAAAGTAAATGAATCAGATATTAATAATTTGGTGTATCTGCAATGTATTATCAAAGAAACACTTAGGATGTACCCAGCAACTCCACTTGGAGGTCCAAGAATATTCACGGAAGATTGCAAACTATCAAAATTTGATGTTCCAAAAGGTACATGGTTGCTCTTTAACCTATGGAAACTCCAACGAGATCCACAAATTTGGTCTAATCCTCTTGAATTCAATCCAGAAAGGTTTATCAATCGCCACAAAGAGATTGATGTTTTGGGACAGGATTTTGAGTTGATTCCATTTGGTGCTGGTAGAAGAATATGTCCAGGGATAACTCTTAGTCTTCAAATATTGTCCTTGGTCTTGGCTAATTTATTTACATTCATTTGAACTCTCAAATGTCTCTAATGGAGCAATTGATATGACTGAGACAACTGGAACAAGCAATTTCAAAGCTGCACCGCTTGAAATTCTCATAGCTCCTCGTCCCTCTGTTTATCTGTATTAGTTAACCACACATTAATTAATATGTGCGCTTGTGTTTGTTTGTATCTGTGTCTGTGTATGTGTATGTATGTTCACTGGAAAGAGCTTCCATGGACATCATGATTTACCAGATCTCTATGGCCTGTATGTAAGTTCCTTTCAGTTCTACTATATATGTAAAATTACATGAATAAAAAGGCTTGATATTCCTATTAATTGCCCATTTATCAAATCCTGAATTTCTGTCCTCCGTGTATACTTACATATAGTACACACAACTTTAATATATATCAAATTTCTGATACACAATACGGAGTAATTTCTTTTTTAACTACATAAACTTTATTTGCATATTAAAATTTGATTGTTGGAAAAGCATATACGGTCATGTTTGATAATGAACAATCCCTTACGTGTTGAAGATGGCTCAAGAAGAATTAGACATGGTAGTTGGAAGAGAAAGAAAGGTAAATCAATCCGTAATTAATCAATTATTTAGCATATCTTCATGCTATTGTCAAAGAAATATTTAGGTTGGGGGTGGGTTAATCCTAGCCAAGTTGATCAAGAAATGGTAACTACAATTTTCGTAAGTTGAGAGAAGGAGCGGGAAGAAGTCTTGAAAGGGAAAAACTGAGAAATTGCTTTCATGAAGGTGACAACTGTCTGGTTATATAGGCCGTTACAAACCAAGAAAAGAGAAGTTACCAAACTGCCCCTTTTAGCATCTACTCTATTCCTCTAATAACAATGTTACTAGTTCGACTCAAACGGAAGTAATATATTGCTTTTTTTTAGTTTGAACTGATCAACTATGTGCAGCTTAAACTGATGGATTTACCTTCTTGAAAATTACACATACTGTATCTTGTTTTCATGTTCCAAAAACACTTGGCTATTCTTTAACATGTGAAAACTCCAATGACATGCATCCACAAGTTTAACCCAACGACCCTCTTGAATTCAAGCCTTGAGAAATTTATTAATTGCCACAAGGAGGTTGAATTGATGTTTTTGGACTAGATTTCGAGTTGATTCTATTTGGTGCCAGTAAGAGAATATGTCTAGAAACAATTTTTGGTCGAGATCCAGATGTTGCATTTCATCTTGGCTAATTTGTTGCATACTTGCATTCATTTGAGCTAACAAATGTGTTTAATGGACCAGTTGATATGACGGAGACAATTTGACTAAACAACCTCAAAGATACGCCATTAGAAATCCTTGTATCTCCCCACCTCTCTTTTCATCTTTATTAGTCAACCACACATTAATTAATATGTCTTCATGTATGTTTGTATGTATGTGTGTGTGTCTGTGTATGTATGGTCACTTGAAAGTGCTCCCACAGACATGATGATTTATCATCTCTCTGTGGCTTGTATGAAAGGAAATATTGCCCAAGGTTACCCAAAACTGTTTTTTAGACAATTTTTAAAAAGAATAGATATAGTGTGTAATTTTCTAGAAATTAACTCGATATATATATATATATATATATATATATATATATATATATATATATATATATATATATAATTTTTTACTTGAAATTCTTAATTATAACTCTTCATCTTTTCACTTGTCTTTAATTTGTGTTTATATATGTTCATGTAGTCAAAACACATAAAAGAAGTCAGTTGCACTAGAAAAATCACTTGTGACGAAGGCAAAAATTGAATCTGTAATAACCTTAATGTGCGTTTAATATAATGTGAGTTTATAAATGTATGCCCCTGTAGTCAAAACACATAAAAAAATTAATTGCACTAGAAAAATTACGTGTAGCGGAGACAAGAATTGAATATATAACTTTAAGATATATTAATTATATTTTATCTATTTAGTCACATTTTCGAGACAGAAGATTTAAATTTCAATATGCGACAATATGCGTACTACTCACTATACAGAGTCGCTGTGCACGAATGCTAGCAGCCACACAGATCGAGTCGCTCTGATCTGCATGAATGCTAGCAGCCACACATTTTCAATGGTACGGAAGATCAGCACGCAAAATTTTGGTGCATAATTTTGATGGAAATATATACGACCACAAATTAATTAAAGCACATGGCAGAACTGTACGTACTAATAATACAAATTAAATTATTGTACTAATTTACTTTAGAGAAACTTGTATATAATATAACCACAAATCAATTAACTTACCCAAGCTTCTTATTATTCACACCAGGCCAGAAACATGCAACTTCTTCTCCAAAACCTTAACACTTCAATTATCGTTGTATGTATCGCTATCGCTTTTTATGTAGTTTTTCATTATCTTGCAAACAGTAGCAAGCCACGGCGGAAGCAAAAATCACCGCCAGAAGCCGGTGGAGCGTGGCCAATTCTCGGTCACCTTCACATTTTCAGAGGCGGCTCTAAACTTCCTCACATAGCCTTAGGAGAATTGGCGGACAAGTATGGGCCGGCTTTCACTATCCGGATGGGCGTGCAAAGAGTGTTGGTGGTTAGCGACTGGAAATTGGCAAAAGAACTCTCCACTACCCACGACGTTAACATATCTTCTCGCCCAAAGTTTCGAGCCGGCAAACACTTGGGCTACAACGACACTATGCTTCTTTTGGCTCCTTATGGTCCTTATTTGCGTGGGATTCGTAAACTTATTTCCTCAGAACTACTCTCCAACCGACGGCTAGAGCAGCTGAAGCACATAAGATTGTCCGAGATCAAGACCTCTGTAAAGGATCTCTATAAGCTTTGGACTGAAAAGAAAAACTCTGATCCCTTCGGCCGTGTTCGGGTGGAAATGAAAGAGTGGTTCAGAGACTTAACATTCAACGTGCTCCTTCGAATGGTGGTTGGAAAACGATGCTTTGGCACATTGGCAGTTGGTGAAGAAGAAGAGGGGCGACGTTGCCAAAGGGTAATTAGAGATTTTGTTAAATGTCTTGGGACTTTTGTGTTGGCGGATGCCCTGCCTTTTTTGGGATGGTTAGATATCGGAGGGTATGAGAAAGTCATGAAAGAAGTTGCTAAAGAAATGGATTCTCTTGCTGAAGAATGGTTACAAGAGCATCGTTTGAAGAAAGATGCTATGGATGAGGACGAAAAAGATTTCATGGATGTTATGCTGTCACGAATAGAAGAGATTGATCTAAATGGTTGCAGTGCTGACACCGCAGTCAAATCTACTTGCATGGTATATATTTCCTCTTGATTTATCAAATTATTTTATTCATGAATATATATCAAATACACAATTTTTATGAGTTAATTTCACCAGAGGTCCCTTATTATTGATGGCGATTTTAAATTTAGTCTAAGACTATCGTTTTTATCATTTAAAATCCCAAACTATTACTTTTAATAAAAATATTTTTGTCTTTTCATATTTTTCTAGTTTCAACCCGTATAATTGGTTTAGGATTTTAGGTAACCTTTGATTTTTAGTAACCATATTTATCAACCGATTTTAAGGCAAGCCCTAAACCAATTAAACAGGTTGAAACTGAAAAAAAAAATAACAAAAGAAAAATATGAAGAGACAAAAATGCTCTTACTTTTTTTTTTTTTGAAAACCAAAAATGTCCTTACTAAAAATATGAGAAGTCATGAGAAGGACTAAATGTGTCCAAAAATAATAGTCATGTTAAATGGCAAAAATGATAGTGTGTTAGTAAATTTAAAATTGACACTAAAGATAATGGACCTTTGGTGGAATTAACTCCAATTTTTATCAACTATTTAACTTTTGTATGTATATATCAAGGTTTTGATTGCTGGAGGAGCAGATACACCCATGGTCATGCTAACATGGACTTTGTCTTTGATAATGAACCATCCCCATGTATTGAAAAGGGCTCAAGAGGAATTAGACATGGTAGTTGGCAAGGAAAGAAAGGTGAATGAATCAGACATTGATCATTTGATGTATCTTCGAGCTATTGTCAAAGAAACATTTAGATTGTATCCTGGTGGTCCACTTGGAGTTTCAAGAGTATTCACCAAAGATTGCACCATTATGTCTGATTTTCATGTTCCAAAAGATACTTGGCTATTCTTCAATGTGTGGAAACTCCAACGAGATCCACAAGTTTGGTCTAGCCCTATTGAATTCAAACCTGAGAGATTTATCAATTGCAATAAGGAGATTGATGTTTTGGGACGGGATTTTGAGTTGATTCCATTTGGTACTGGTAGAAGAATATGTCCAGGAACAACTAGTGCTCTTCAGATTTTACACTTGGTCTTGGCTAATTTGTTACATTCTTTTGTGCTCTCAAATGTCTCTAACAAAGCAATTGATATGACTGAGACGGCTGGACTAAACAACCTCAAAGGCACACCTCTTGAAATTTATATAGCTCCACGCCTCTCCCCTTGCCTTTATTAGCCAATTAAATATTAATTAATATGTTTGTGTGTGTGTCCGTGCATCTATGGTTACTTGGTAGAGCTTCCATGCATGGACATGATGATTTGCCAGATCTTTAATTTGTGGCCTGTGGCCTTCCCAGGCTTCACATATGTACTTAATAATAAACTTATTATTTTGCTAATAAAAGGAGTTTCGGAGTATATATTTAATACGAGCAATACTTGCCAAGGGTGTAAAAATTGTATTTTGACGTTTACCCCTTTTGTCTTTTGAGGTGGGCCCGTAACATCCATTTCATAGACTTCTTTACAAGCAGAGTCATTTTCTATCTTGGGATCAACACGTACACGAAAGCTGCATGTGGTGCTTAATTTTGATAGCCTTATCTGTAAAGATATTTCTCAACTTTAGATCAATCCAATAAAATATACACACGTATATGCCAACAATCGTTATATCGTGAATCAGGATCTAAAGTGCACTATAGACTCTGATTCAATACACATAATTAATGTTCATAATATACTGAATTCAGGTTCATAATACACATACACATAAACACGATATAATGAACATTAAATTTTGTGTATGAGTTAATTTCACTTTTGGTCTTATGATTATTGGTGTGTTGTCAATTTCAATCCGCAATTTTCAAAATTAACAATTTAGTATCCTAACTATTTAATTTTTATCAATTTTAGTACTAGATTGTTACTTTTGAAAATTGTGAACTCAAATCGACACCACCCAAATAGTCATAGCTTCATATGATCAAAAGTGAAATTAACTCTTTTGTGTACTCCGTATTATATAACTGAAGACGCATAAACACTTAACACACAGAAACCATGTTCATTATTATATGGTGTTTATGTATATATATTAAAAACATAAATTCTTTGCATTATAAAAATAAATTTTGTACATTATAAAATCAAATTCTGTGTATTATACAATATAATTTGCCGAACGCCAATGGCGGAAGTTAGTGTATATATATAATCACACTGCAATTAACCCACAGTACTTATTCAGACCAGAACCATGGAATTTCTTCTCCAAGACCTTAATACTTCAATTATTGTTGTAGCTATTGCTTTTTTTTTTTTTTTATTTTATATATATATATATATATATATATATATATATATATATACTTTTTCATTATCTTTCACACAAGAACAAGTCTGGGAAGCAAAAATTACCGCCAGAAGCCGGTGGAGCTTGGCCGATTCTCGGCCACCTTTACCTCTTCAGAGGGTCTAAACTTCCTCACGTAGCTCTGGGAGACATGGCTGACAAGTATGGACTGATCTTTACTATCCGGATCGGCGTGCACAAAGTGTTAGTGATCAGCGACTGGAAATTGGCCAAAGAACTCTCCACTTCCCACGACGTTCATATTTCTTCTCGTCCCAAGTTCCGAGCTGCCCAACACTTGGGCTATAACTATCTAATGGTTTCTTTCGCTCCCTACGGTCCTTACTGGCGCGAGATGCGAAAACTTACTTCCTCGGAGCTACTCTCCAACCGGCGGATTGAGCAACTGAAGCACATAAGAGTGGCAGAGATCGAGACCTCTGTAAAGGAACTCCAGGACCGGATTTTAGGCTGTGCAAGCTGGACTACCGCACAGGGCCCCCAATTTTAGAGGGGCCCCAAATTTTAGAGGTCCAATATTTAATATTTACCTAGCTTGTTTAGAATAAAAATTAAAAGTTTACAATTAATTTAAAAAGGTTCTATGAAGAGATGGTAAAAATATGTATATATTGTATTTTAACTTGGAGGTCAAAGGTTCGAAACTCCCATATGTTACTTTTAAAAATTCAGATTTTGGAGGGCCTCAATTATTTACCAGAACAGGGCCACACAAACCTAAAATCCGGCCCTGAGGAACTCTATAAGCTTTGGACGGAAAACATAAATTCCGACCATTCGGGTCGTGTTTTGGTGGAAATGAAAAAGTGGTTTGGAGACCTAACATTCAACGTCTTCCTTCAAATGGTGGTCGGAAAACGATACTTCGGGACGGCAGCGGCGGGTGATGAAAGCCAGGGGCGCCGTTGCCAGAGGGTACTTAGAGTTTTTTTCACCTTCTTGGGGTTTTTGTGCCGGCGGATGCCCTGCCTTTCTTGGAATGGTTAGATATCGGAGGGCATGAGAAAGCCATGAAAGAAGTTGTTGAAGAAATGGACTCTCTAGTTGACGAATGGTTACAAGAGCATCGCCAGAAGAAAGAGGTGGCAGCAGATGGCGGCGAGGAAGATTTCATGGATGCGATGCTTTCATGGATAGAAAGGATTGATCTTAATGGTTACAGTGGTGACACGGTCATCAAAGCTACTTGCATGGTATGTGATCTTGGTTGATCAGATTATCATTCCTGAATTTAAATTCCTAAATATCTAAAACACAATTATTTTGAACTACATAAATTTTGTATATTAGAATATGATGGCCAGAGGAGCAGATTCAGTCTTGATCATGTGTTGAAAATGGCTCAAGAAGAACTAGACATGGTAGTTGGCATGGAAAGAAAGGTTGATGAATCAGAAGTTAATAATTTGGTTTATCTTCAAGCTATTGTCAAAGAAGCATTTAGAATATACCCTGGAGCTCCACTAGGAGGCCCAAGAATATTCGCTAATGATTGCACCGTATCTGATTTTCATGTTCCAAAAAAAACTTGGTTGTTCATTAACGTGTGGAAACTCCAACGAGATCCACAAGTTTGGTCTAACCCTCTAGAATTTAAACCTGAGAGGTTTATTAACGATCATAAAGACCTTGATGTTCTAGGACAAGATTTTGAGTTGATCCCGTTCGGTGCTGGTAGAAGAATGTGTCCAGGAATAACTTTTGGTCTTCAAATGTTGTACTTGGTGTTGGCTAATTTGTTACAATCTTTTGAGCTCTCAAATGTTTCTAATGAAGGAATTGATATGACTGAGACTGCTGGACTAACCAACATCAAAGCTACACCACTTGAAATTTACATAGCTCCCCGCCTCTCTCATTATCTTTATTAGTCAAACCCACCTGAATATGTATATGTGTATGTGTGATGTGTCTACAGTAAAATTATTAAAGACTACATTATTATACTTCCAACTTTGAAGCCAGTGCACAATATGTGAATTTAACTATATATATAAAGTGTTTCTATCGACAAAGTAAAATTACGTTTTAATTTCTGTAACATCAAAATATATTACGGTAGTTTTGAATAATAGGGTTCCACTAATTATATTTAAGCTAATCCAATCAAATAAAGATATCAGCAATCTAGCTAGCTCATTGGATATTTGGATTTTTGTGCTCTGCAAGGAAATTATTATGAAACCAGTCAATGGTGTTTAGTAGTGATTAACTCGTTATTGTTGGAATTTACGGACTATTTGGTTTTGGATTATTTACCGAGGGAGTCAAAACCACGCTTGAATTATTTACGCTAGGAAGCAAAAATTACCGCCTAAAGCGAGCAGGGTGTGGGCAATTATAGGCAACCTTAACATCTCCAGCCGCTCTAAGCATCCTCATGTACGATGGTTATGTTGTGAGTACGTGTCCACCTTGTAAGGTAGGTATAGTTCTATATCTATAATTTTTATATTGTAGATTCATAATTTTTATACTGTAGATCCATAATTTCTATACTTTAGATACATAATTTTTAAACCGTAGATTCATAATTTAAATACAGTAGATTCATAATTTCTATACAGTAGATTCATAATTTATATACTGCAGATTCATAATATCTGTACTGTAGATTCATAATTTCTGTACTGTAAACTCATAATTTCTAAACTGTATAGTTATCAATTGTAAACATATAGTTCTCTGATTTGTGATTAATTAAATTTTCGATGAAACCTTATTCGATATCCGAAACAGTGCAATTAATGCAAACATCTACATATAATTTTTCTCCTATAAAACACCCCAGATCAAATCCATGTGAGCGTAAACTGCAGCAATTTGTCCTACCAGTTGTGTATTTCCATGGCCATGGTGGCGGAGGAGACAAAATGCGGTAGAATGTAGAGGAGACTCTAACAATCGCACCTATAAAAAAAAAGGAGTAAACAAAATAGAAGAATCATTGAAAGTGGTAGAACAAATAGAGCCAGACATTAAGGAACCATCTTCTACAGGTAGAGATTGTGGAGTGTACTTTTCTATCTTCTCATATGCTTCAAAAAAATGGCAGAAACGAGAAGGGATGAAGAAACCAAATGATGCGGGTTGTGGGTCAATTATTGAAAAAAAATAAATCATTTGAGCCATAAAAAAAAAAAAAAATATATATATATATATATATATATATATATATATATATATATATATATATATATATATATATATTGTGTGGGTCTTTAATAATTTTCTGAATTTTTAAACTTAGGACTTAAAAAAAAAATCCATTTGAATTATCTCCACAAAAAGTGGTCTTGGGCTTATAGAATCACATGTGCATAAAGAATATATCATATAATCATATAAAAAATGTGTTCAATTAGAGTTTAAATTTACTCCTACAAAATTTGAAATTTACTTTCTAAATGTAATTATCTTAGTTATTATTCGTATTGTGAAAATTATAATATAGATGAAATACAATTAAGAATAAATCAATGTAATTATGTAAATTCTCTTATTAGTTTATTTGAATATGTACATAATTAGAGATTATATTAACCATACAAAATTTTAATTTTAATTTTAATTGTAATTTTGTGTTCTATAAAAATAATAAATACTTGACCAATGAAAGCTCAAAAATATTATTATATTAAACAATTTAAAATATTTGTATTTTTTCTATTTTTTAATTTATATTTATAATAACATAATTTTTTTCCGTGCATCGTGCGGTGAATTACTAGTTACCTTATATAACTTGGAGATAAAAAAAATAATTAAAAAAATAAAAAAAATAAAAAAAATAAAAAGGATCAGAGTTTTTAATGAACAAGGACATAATATATATTTGTGCTCTGCAAAGAATTATGAAACCAGTTGATGGTGTTTAGGAATCTAAAAACATAATAAGTCTCAATTAAGGTTATATCCTTGATTTATTTCCCTCCTTTTGTATGCAAATAAATATGTACATTTTACTTTAAATGTTGTACATTTCAATGTTATTAGACAAAACTACCCTTATCCCGTTATAACACCGTTAGTTTTTAATTCTAACATTGATAACACATCATTATTACCATATACCTATATCTATCATATCTTTTCCTATTTTTTAATTATCATTTTATTAAAATCATTATATATTAATGTAATGCTTACTTATATTTTAATTAAATTTCTATGAATGATAAATTATATATGTGCGTGTACAAAATACATATATTATTTGTGTATATGTAATTCAAATTATAATTTTTAATTATTTATATTATCAATGTTTTAATATTGGACATAAATTTTCGCGCATCACACGTACAAAATGCTAGTCAGTATATATAAATATGTATATGCTTTAGTGATACAAAGATGATTTAAATTATTTACATACCACATGCATAATACATCTATATGGACTCCTAGCGGATAAGTATTCTTCGTGCGATTTACATAATTTACATTGTATATAAGATCATGTAATTAGTGTAGTTTTCTTGTCACATAACAAAACATTAATTATTCAATTATAATAATTATACTAAATTATGATAGGATAGTTATACATTTCTTTTAAATAAAATAAATTTACTTATTACATTTATGATTTATTCTTTTATCCAAATTTTTTTCTTTTTTGTTTTCTATGAAAAACAATAATTGATGAAATATTGATGGGGTGTTTGAAAACTAGATTATAAAACAAAGTAAATGTGTATTTTCTTACATTTCTGCCTGGGCACCTTTCCTGATTTTTAAATGTATTGGATGGATGCTTCTTTCAGTGTCAGAAGTGCTGTGCTGCCTCATATCCTTCCCAAGCTTGTCCACCTTCCTCATTCATAAGTATTGTGTCTGTTTCTTATAGCTTTTTGTATAGTAGTATTTCTTTATTATTCACGATGATCTTTGGTTTTATATCCAGTGCCTTCAATGCACGTGCTTTGGAGCTTTAGCAGAGGTTGCTGGACCTGGTCTTGATGTCCCCCTTGGTACCATCCTTCCTGCTTTACTCACTGCAATGGGCTATACTGATATGCCGCAATGCTATTTACTTGGTTTTCTCTTTCACATCATTTAAATTTGAGTCATTGCTTAAGTTGATTTGTGTTTTTCTTTTTTCATTGCATAATTTGCACGTGTCATGCTTTCACTATGAAATATAGGAGGTTCAAAGTCTCGCCAAGAAAGCAGCAGAAACTGTTGTCACTGTAATTGACGAGGAAGGTATCGAGTCTTTGCTGTAGGGGCTTCTTAAAGGAGTTGGAGATATTCAGGCATGGTTTATTGTTTTGCATAATGATAATGTGGCTTTCTTTTCTTTGTATTCCATTTTTTTGCTAACACTATTTAATTTTTCTTCCAGGCTTCAATCAGACAAAGTTCTGCATACTTAACTGGATATTTATTCAAAACCAGTGATCTATATCTTGTTGATGGGGCTCTAAACCCTGATTATTTTACTAAGTGATTCAGATTCAGTCACCGTGACGGTATTATTTTGATTCATTGCATGACATTTATACAATGCACTTCAATGTACTAGTTTATCTTTCCGTGCTCTTTTACAGGTTGCTTGGGAAGCATTGTCTAGTGTGATAAGTTCAGCTCCTAAAGAAGTTCTTCCTTCGTATATAAAGTTGGTTCGTGATGTATACAAATATAGAGGACCAGTTCTAATACCTGGTTTTTGCCTCCGGAAAGCTCTTCAACCTGTGCTTCCTATTTTCCTCTAGGTATTCCTGCTTATCTTTTGTTTATGAACTTAAAAAAGTTTACATTGAAAAAATCTCGTCAGTTTCTAATATTTAATAATTATAGTGCAGAAATCCTTCCGAGAATTATTATATGTAAGAAACTAAGTATAATCTATTAATCATACATCAAGATTGTTTCTATTATTGCTGTTGTCGTTTTTGGAATCAGTTTCGCATTGTTACAAGCATTGGTAACAAGTATTAGGATTGCAAGATTGTTGAGCTTTGATTGCATGGTTATGTGAATTTCCTTTATTATCTGTAGGGTCTTATAAGTGGATCTGCTGAATTAAGAGAGCAAGCAGCTTTGGGCCTTGGAGAGTTAATTGAAGTGACAAGTGAGCAAGCATTAAAGGAGTTTGTCATTCCAATCACAGGGTATGAGCTGTTACTATAGTTCTACACATTGCTAGTTTTGACTATGAGACTATTAAGAGGATTGCAACCAACAAAATGCTATACGTAATCATTACGTTGCCTATTTATGTATGCAGTGAACTATGCCCTTTATTAGTGTGTCAACTATCAAACAGTCCTCTACTTGTCTGAACCTTTGGGTCACCAGTGTAAGGCCATTCTAGATTGCTTGGGCAAGTTCAAAGTGCAATTCTCTCAACTTTGAGCATCATAATATGGAAGGGTGGGTTGGCCCTAAATCCTTTTCTTCCCCAGCTTCAAACAACATTTGTTAAGTGTTTGCAGGATATTACATGGTTAGATTTTAATACTTATGGTTTTTCAGTTCTTTTGGAGACTCGTTTATTCTGTTATGTTCAGTACTACGATGCATGTATATTCCTAGCCCATGCTATGCAAGTTGTTTGCAGGACTGTTCGATCAAGTGCTGCTCTTGCCCTTGGTAAACTAAGTGCACTCACAACTAGGATTGATCCTTTGGTTGGTGATCTTCTATCTGCTTTACAGGTGAAGTACTTCATCTTATGTTTGTTTTCCCCCCCCTCTTTCTTTGGTTTTAACCTTCAAAATCTAATGTTGTGGTGATATGGGCAGCAGTTTTGGAATTCGTGAGGCTATTTTGACTGCTTTGAAAGGAGTGATCAAACATGCTGCCAAAAGTGTGAGCGGTGCTTCTAGAACACTTTTAGTAACATAGTTTCTCTCTATCATTCAAAAAAAAAAACTCTGTTTGTGGCCTTCTTTTCCTGTGAAATAGCTTCTAAATTTTTTTCTTATCGACAGATTGCTGATGCTCTTTATTATAACCCTTCATTTACGCCGAGCATACTGCAAACGCTTGGTGTTGCTACAGAGATCTTCAATCTTTGGTTCCATATGCTACAACAAACCAAAAAAAGTGGAGCTCGGGCTAATTCTAAAAATGTAGCAATATGTTGGTCTTGTAGTTCTTGTGGAGAGATTTAAAAGGCATAAGAAAAACAAAGCTAAGAAAAGTGATTGGTTTCTAATTCTTGGCATGTTGGTATTGCAGGGAGCATGAGAAGAAGGTTTGCTGCTTGGGCTTGACATCATTGCTTGGGATCAAATGCCAGCAGCAGCCTTAGAGGGCATTTTTAAGGCCATTCTTGACCTCCCTGTAAGCACAAGGAGCAACTTTCTGGTAAGTAACCATTTTTTTTCTTTTCTATGTTTTTCCCATACTGGTTTTTCTATTTGTTTTCATTTGCACTTTAGATGGTATATTCTGATTATTCTCTTAATGTTTGATATCATTTTCTACCTTCTATATCTTCAGAAGCTGCAAAGGCAGAGGAAGCTGAAGATGAGGTTGAGATGGATGGATTTCGAAGTGATGATGACGACGATGAGTCTGATAGAGAAATGGCAGATGATGACGAGGATGGAGATGAAGCTGACAGCCTAAAGCTCCAAAAGTTGGCAGCAAAGGTAACAGAATTAAGAGACATTGTATCATACCCATCTAAGCATCTTGTTCCTGCTTGTTTTCTGTTCATTTCCTTTGTGAAATTAACATCCATCTCTATATGCTGAAACTTTGTGGTTTTCAGGCGAGTGCTTTCCGCTCCAATGATGCTCCAATGATGACGTGGATGAGTCATCTGATGATGATTTTTGTGATGATGAAGAGATGCAATCAGCCATTGATGAGGCGGATCCTTTTGTTTTCTTTGTTGATTCTGTCAAAGGTATCCCTGCCTATTTCATCCTTTTGGGTTATTTAGTTTTTGCTATACTGTGTGATAAAATGTTTTGACCTTGTCCTTTGCTGAAAAACTAAAACCACAGCAGGTTTCCTTTTATTTGGTTCAAGTACTATTAATAGGTATATGATTTCAAGTGTGCTCTTTAGTTTAAAAAGAATTTTCAAGTGTGCTCTTTAGTTTAAAAATGATTTTCAAGTGTACTCTTTAGTTTAAAAATCATTTTGAAATGTGCTCTAGTTTTAAAATAATTTTCAAGTGTGCTCTTTAGTTTAAAAATGATTGTATATCCGTGATGCTGGTTTTTGTGAGGACAATATTTGTGCTGGTTGGATCGTCAGACAAAGGATATCATTGGCTTTACATTCATTCTGTGGCTGATGTGCTTGGAACCAAAGATCTTCCTGTTGTTATGACTATCCTAATATCACGAACGCTGGTAATATTTTATTTTGTTGTTATATACAAGGTTTACATGTTTGCTATGGAGTTGGCATCTTAATGTGCTCCTTCCTGTTGAACGGGCTATGTATTATAATTACATGCTTTAAGCTTGTTCTTTATGCTTACCGCTCTCTCTCTCTCTCTCTCTCTTTGAAATACTATGAGAAATCTGGTTGATTCATTTAAGTTTATAGGTGTCAATATTCTTTTTTAGGCTTACTTCATTTATTTTTTGCCCTAAAAAGAATCTCTTCATTTGTATACCAAATTTTCTAATATTTAATAATTATAGCAGAGAAATTCTTCCAAGAATTATTATATGTAAGGAACTAAGTATAATTTATTAATTATACATAAAGATTGTTTTTATTATTGCTGTTGTCGTTTTTGGAATCTGTTTCGCATTATTACAAGCATTGGTAACAAGTATTAAGAATGCAAGATTGTTGAGCTCTGATTGCATGGTTATGTGAATTTCCTTTATTATCTGCAGGGTCTTATAATTGGATCTGCTGAATTATGAGAGAAAGCAGCTTTGGGCTGTGGAGGGTTAATTGAGGTGAGAGGTGACAAGTGAGCAAGCATTAAAGGAGTTTTTCATTCCAATCACAGGGTATGAGCTGTTACTATAGTTCTACACATTGCTTGTTTTGACCAGAGACTATTAAAAGGATTGCAACCAACAAAATAAGCTATACGTAGACATTACGTTGCCTATTTATGGTATGCAGTGAACTATGCCCTTTATTAGTGCATCAACTATAAAACAGTCCTCTAATTGTCTGAACTTTTGGCTAACCAGTGTAAGGCCATTCTAGATTGCTTGTTCATGAATTGTTATTCATATAATAGGGGACAGGTTCCCATGGCAAGTTAAAAGTGCAATTCTCTCAACTTTGAGCATCATAATACGGAAGGGTGGGTTGGCCCTAAAGCCTTTTCTTCCCCAGCTTCAAACAACATTTGATAAAGTGTTTGCAGGATAATACAAGGTTAGCTTTTAATTCTTATGGTTTTTGGGTTCTTTTTTAGACTCGTTTATTTTGATAGGTTCAGTACTACGATGTATATTCCTAGCTTGCAGGACTGTTCAATCAAGTGCTGCTCTTGCCCTTGGTAAACTAAGTGCACTCACAACTAGGATTGATCCTTTGGTGTTGGTGATCTTTTATTTGCTTTACAGGTGGCATACTTCATGTTATGTTTTTTTTTTTCTTCTCTTTTCTTTGGTTTTAACCTTCAAAATCTAATATTGTGGTCATATGGGCAGCAGTATTCAGATGTTGGAATTCGTGATGCTATTTTGACTGCTTTGAAAGGAGTGATTAAACATGCTGGCAGAAGTGTGAGCAGTGCTTCTAGAACACTTCTAGTAACATAGTTTCTCTCATTAAAAATAAAAATACAAGGTTGTTGTATTTTTTTTTTTTTTTTTTTTTTTAAAAGAAGAAAGGAAATACTTCAAAATAATATACTGTTCCAGATGGCGGCAGGCAAAACAGAAAAGCTTCTCTTTTTCGCTAAATGCCAGACTGAATCAACCCAGTCTTGTGTCTTGGATCCAGTGGTTCTATCAAAATGGTAATTTCAAGCATTGCCATTTGGGTGTTCTCTCGATTCATTTTTCTGGCGAATTGGTTGATGGTTTGGTTTGGGCTTGAAATGGGTAGATTTGATTCATTCTGCTTAAAAACATGTTCTTGCTATGATATCTCGATACATTTGTGTTATTAACGCTGAGTTTTAACATTCGATATGGTTCTGGAGGTTCATCGGTTGATTGTGAATAGAGACCCCAAATTCACCAACATTGTGGAGCTGGGAGTGTTATAACTTTTTTTTTTTTCTTTTCAGAAATCGTTCTACTGCCTCGTATAAAACTTTTCATGCAATGATAAGATCTGTGCTGTGTGTTCTATTCCTTTCATAGTTAAGAGGCCATTGATTCCTTAAACTGTACTGCCAAAGATGCTCTGATTGAATACCGACTCTGTTGATTGTGGTGAAGAGCGGAATGTGAAGGAAATAGTTAATTGTTTCTCACCTGCTAGTTCTCTTCCACAGTTCTAACTAATCCAAGAAGGAGATGAGATAAAACATACTGTTAATCCCTGAGGGTGTCGTTTTGAAGACACTTCTACAGAGTTTGAGAGTGAATTCTTTGGTCCTGCGGGATTGTAATGGCTTGTAGTTGATGCTTTCCTTGTCAGTTCCTAGAACCCAAGATAATCTATTAATCTACAGGCGGTATGCTGGGCTATTTTTCTCGCTCTGTGTTGATATGACGGACAACGACTTGGCTTATTTGGAGTGCATCCACTTGTTTGTGGAGATACTGGATCACTTCTTTAGTAATGTCTGCGAGTTAGATTTGGATTTTAACTTTCACAAGGTATGGTTTGTCAGTCTTTCTCATTGTGAATCTCTGTATTTTCTTTTGCTTCTAGTGCATTTACCTTGTGTATGCTGCATTGTTTTCCTATGAAGGTATATCTAATCTCTGTATTTTCTTTTGCTTCTAGTGCATTTACCTTGTGTATGCTGCATTGTTTTCCTATGAAGGTATATCTAATCTTAGATGAATTCGTTCTCGCTGGGGAGCTCCAAGAAACAAGTAAGAAGGTGAGAGTAATCGCATGAAGAAGGATTTTTCTTGCGCCTTATCCTTCTTCTGGTGAAATGTATTTTGCATTGATTTTGCAGAAAAAATGGATGTTTGATTTCTTCTGGTACTGCAGGCTATCATAGAGAGGTTGAATGAATTGGAGAAGTTGGAGTAAAGATTGATGATCCATGATGGCCAATCTTCATCCATATTCCAAAGTATGCACCTTTTTCATTTGCTCCCCTTTGATCTTTCTGAACATTTAGGATTATGCCTGCTTCTGTTTGAGACTTTGAATCTCTAGAATTTCTTTCGATTTTACGAGTGTTCATGTCATAGGATTGAAGAAGACATTGTGATTACTGGGGTCATTTCCTCCCCCTATTCATGATTCTGTTTGCTTCTGAACTTTAGATAGAGAGTGCTTTCATGTGAGAGTGCTTTATATCCAGTGCCTTCAATGCACATGCTTTGGGATCTTTTGCAGAGGTTGCTGGACCTGGTCTTGATGCCCCCATTGGTACCATCCTTCCTGCTTTACTCACTGCAATGGGCTATACTGATATGGTAGGAACCTAATTTTTATGCCATAATGCCATTACTTGGTTTCGTCTTTCACATCATTTAAATTTGAGTCATTGCTTAAGTTGAATTGTGTTTTTTTTTTCATTGCATAATTTGCATGTGTCATGCTTTCACCTTGAAAATATTGGAGGTTCAAAGTCTCGCCAAGAAAGCAGCAGAAACTGTTGTCACCGTAATTGACGAGGAAGGTATCAAGTCTTTGCTTTCGGGGCTTCTCAAAGGAGATGGAGATATTCGGGCATGATTTATTGTTTTGAATAATGATAATGTGACTTTCTTTTCTTTGTTTTGCATTTTTTAGCTAACACTATTTAAGTTTTATTCTTCCAGGCTTCAGTCAGACAAAGTTCTGCATACTTTATTGGATATTTATTCAAAACCAGTGATCTATATCTTGTTGTTGAGGCTCCAAATGTGATATCCACCCTGATTATTTTACTAAGTGAATCAGATTAATCTACCGTGACAGTTATTTTGATTCATTGTATGATACAATGCATTTCAATGTACTAGTTTATCTTCCCATGCTCTTTTACAGGTTGCTTTGGAAGCATTGTCTAGTGTGATAAGTTCAGTTCCTGAAGAAGTTCTTCCTTCATATATAAAGTTGGTTCGTGATGTATAGAAACATGCAGGGAGGACCAGTTCTAATACCTGGTTTTTCCCTCTGGAAAGCTCTTCAACCTGTGCTTCCTATTTTCCACCAGGTATTCCTGCTTATCTTTTGTTTGTGAACTTAATGTTTACATTGAAAGAATCTCTTAATATTTAATGGTTTTATAATAATTAAGAAAGCAAGCAGCTTTGGGCCTTGGAGAGTTAATTGAAGTGACAAGTGAGCAAGCATTAAAGGAGTTTGTCATTCCAATCACAGGGTATGAGCTGTTACTATAGTTCTACACATTGCAAGTTTTGACTATGAGACTATTAAAAGGACTGCAACCAACAACATAAGCTATACGTTGTCATTACGTTGCCTATTTATGGTATGTAGTGAACTATTCTCTTTATTAGTGTGTCAACTATCAAACAGTCCTCTACTTGTCTGAACCTTTGGGTCACCAGTGTAACGCCATTCTAGATTGCTTGTTCATGAATTGTTATTTGGTGTACGCCATTGATTCGTATAAATAGGGGACAGATTCCCGTGGCAAGTTAAAAGTTCAATTCTCTCAACTTTGAGCATCATAATATGGATGGGTGGGTTGGCCCTAAAGCTTTTTCTTCCCCAACTTCAAACAACATTTGTTAAGTGTTTGCAGGATATTACAAGGGTAGCTTTTAATACTTATGGTTTTTCAGTTCTTTTTGAGACTCGTTTATTCTGTTATGTTCGGTACTACGATGTATGTATATTCCTAGCTAATGTTATGTAAGTTGTTTGCAGGACTGTTCGATCAAGTGCTGCTATTGCCCTTGGTAAACTAAGTGCACTCACAATTAGGATTGATCCTTTGGTTGGTGATCTTTTATCTGCTTTACAGGTGACATACTTCATCTTATGTTTTTTTTTTTTCTTCTATTTTCTTTTGTTTTAACCTTCAAAGTCCTATATTGTGGTGATATGGGCAGCAGGCTTCAGATTTTGGAATTCGTGAGGCTATTTTGATTGCTTTCAAAGGAGTGATAAAACATGCCCGCAAAAGTGTGAGCAGTGCTTCTAGAACACGTGTAGTAACATAGTTTCTCTCTATCATTCAAAAAAAAATATGAAATTGGTGGTCGTAAATTTTTTTTAAAAGAAAATAAATACTACAAAATAATATATACTGTTCCGGACCGCTGGAAAACAGAAAAGCTTTTTTTTTTTTTTTTTTTTTTTTTTTTTTTTTTTTTTTTTTCTGAACGCTGGACTGAGTCAACCCAGTCTTGTCTCTTTTGGTCCAGTGGTTTCTATCAAAATGGTAATTTCAAGCATTGCCATTTTGGTGTTCTCTCGATTCATTTTTCTGGGAAATTGGTTGATGGTTTTGTTTGGGCTTGAAATCGGCAGATTCGGTTCATTGTGCTTCAAAACTGGTAAGGAAAGACTCGTTTGGCCAAGTATTACAACCCCATCGAGGTATTGTGTTCACCAACATTGCAGGAATCCACAGGTTGATTTGCTATCTCAGGATTGTGCTCATAGGATTGATCAAAAGAAGGAATTTCAAGGGTTCCGTTTTTGCACCGAGGTTTATTCAGTTTTATCTTTAATTTTTAAACACAGCATGGACATAAATTAATATTCATAAATTATAATTCAATGTGCAGATACTATTTTGAGGAAAAGGTGATTGAAAGAGCTTTTAAGAAGCTTGCACTTGATGCTTTTGGTTATCCAACAAGGAAGGCTTGCAGAGCAAAAAGGTAAGGTTTCTCATGGTTTTGCCATTTTTGATATATAGCTGCAATCTGTAACTAATTTCTGAACAATAAGGTTTCTCATGCTTTGGTTATCCAGCAAGGAAGGCTGGCAGAGCAAAAAGTTAAGGTTTCTCATGGTTTTGCCATTTTTGATATATAGCTGTAATCTGTAATAACTAATTTCTGAATATATCGAGTGCCAGCTAAATTTGTAAAATATTTGCCCAAGTGCTCTATTAATTTGGGAATCTTCTGACCAAGCTTTTTAACAGGAGGGGTCCTGCAATTTATGTGAACATTTTCTCTGGTGAAGCAACTGCACAATTTCCTTCTGCATTGGAAACAGCAAGAGGGGTAGTGAATTTTATTTGTTAGCTCTTTTATTCTTTAACTCCAATTTAATATCTTGAATGTCCTGGTTTTTCTTGTTGTTGTATATATTAATTTCTCTGCGAAAGGTGGTTTCTGCAGATCTTTGCAGATGCTATGGGCCTGGGAAACTGTAAGTAATCCAGCCTTTTCCAGATCAGTATCAATGTTTTTCCCATGAGCTTGAAAGTATATTTATTCTGTTCATTTGGATCTATGCGCATTAACCAGTTTTGAACTGTCATTTAGGATGTGGAGAGTAGCATATTCCATGAAGTTGATTGGCATCGAATTGTACTGGATGAAGCACACACCATAAAATCCTGGAGAACTATGAGTGCTAAGGCTGCATTTACATTGTCTGCACATTGCAGGTGGTGTCTCACTGGTACTCCACTTCAGGTATGTTTCCTCATCAAAGTCCCCATTTATCATATTTCCTAAAAAGATGAGGCTTTCATAGGACCGTCTCATTTGAGAATGTGATACTTTTTAGACTGTTCTCGAAATCTGGTTTATGTTAATGATGTCCTCACTAATTGCTGCAGAATAATTTGCAAGATCTTTACAGCCTTCTGTGTTTCTTGCATGTTGAGCCATGGTGCAATTGGGCATGGTATGTCTTATATATTACTAACTGTATATATACATGCTAATAAGTTTAACTGAACTAGATTACTTAAATGTTTGCTATCTTTTAGGTGGGGAATAAGTTAATACAGAGACCATATGAGAATGGTGATCAGAGAGCATTGAAACTGATCAAGGCAATTCTTAGGCCATTAATGCTTAGGAGAACAAAGGAAACAAAGGACATGGAAGGGAGGTTGTTCATTGTCTCTTTTTCTAGTTTTCTTGAAAACTCAAAGTTTACTTGAGAAGCAAAGCCTTGAATTAGGCCAATTCTTGTCCTGCCACCAACTTACATCCAAGTCATTGAGTGTGAACAGTCGGAAGCAGAGCACGATTTCTATGATGCCCTCTACAAGAAATGTAAAGTAAGATTTGCAGCCCCTGCAAGTAACAGCATTTTCAAGGGTTTTTTTCAGATTATTGAGACATGTGGTTCGAAATCTGATATGCATTTTTGGGACTGGGAACTAACAGTTTCTTGTCGATGAATCAGGTCTAGTTTGACGAATTTTGTGGCACAAGGCAAAGTTCTTCACAACTTTGCAAACATTCTTGTGTTGCTACTCAGACTGAGACAGTGTTGCAATCATCCTTTTCATGTGATGAGGTGAAATGCCATTAGAGGTGAAAGCCAAAGTTTTTTGCATAAAAAATGGGTGTTTGTGGCTAATAATCTAACAAGTAATATTGTGATTTGAACTCGTTTCTTTGCCTTTGATCCTGTTGAGGAGTGCTAGGTCACATTGGCATGTAAACGAGTTCAAATTTCAATGAAAGGTTGTGAGTGCATTTGCAGTTTTGCATATACATGATATATGAGCTGGGTGTGAAATATCTTTAAATGATACATGAGGTCTACTGTATTAAAACCAAATAATTAGTGGATACTTTATTTTTTAGTGGATCTACTTTCCTATATTTTCCCCTACAGATTCACACGTTCTGTGTTTGTGTCCTTTTCCTGTGATAAAATTACTTCTAAATTTGTTTCTTATTGACAGATTGCTGATGCCCTTTACTATAACCCTTCATTTAAGCTGAGCATACTGCTTGGTGTTGCTACAGAGATCTTCAATCTTTGGTTCCATATGCTACAACAAACTAAAAAAAGTGAAGCTCGGGCTAATTCTAAAAGGTAGCAATATGTTGGTCTTGTAGTTCTTGTGGAGAGATGTAAAAGGCATAAGAAAAACAAAGCTAAGGAAAGTGATGGGTTTCTAATTCTTACCATGTTGGTATTGCAGGGAGCATGAGAAGAAGGTTTGCTGCTTGGGCGTGACATCATTGCTCAGTCTTCCTGCTGATCAAATGCAAGCAGCACAACCTTTGAGGGCATTTTTAAGGCCATTCTTGACCTCCTTGTATGCACAACAAGCAACTTGCTGGTAAGTAACTATTTTAATTTGTTTTTTCCTATGTTCTTCCCATACTGGTTTTTCTATTTGTTTCATTTGCACTTTAAATGGTATATTCTCTTAATGTTTGATATCATTTTCTACCTTCTCAATCTTCAGAAGCTGCAAAGGCAGAGGAAGCTAAAGATGAAGTTGAGATGGATGGATTTCAAAGTGATGATGATGACGACGAGTCTGATAGAGAAATGGCAGATGATGATGAGGATGGAGATGAAGCTATGATCCGAGGATAAGCAGAAAGGTTAGTATGCATTTTTATGTCTTGCATTTCATTTGTGGACATTAATTTCTGAATCTAATACATGGTGAAAATCTCTATTTCAGATTTATGTTCGAGAACGAGCAGCCCCATTTATTTCAATGGCAGAAATAAAGAGGAAGTTTGAATCTAGTACAAGTCAGATGTCAATGCCACACATGAATTGTTCCATGTCACATGTAAATACAAATAACTTGCTTAAAAGTTTTATTGTTTTTCTAGTACGTTTTCTTTACTAAAGTCTCTTGTTTTCTTTGCAGTTGCTATGTCAACCAACGGCTATTGAAAATATCAGTTGCATCCTTGCTGGAGGCTTCGTCTCTTCTCTCTATGGATCTTGGTATTCACTGATTTAGTTTTGAGAGTTTACGGAAGGGTGGGTTGGCCCTAATGCCTTTTCTTCCCCCAGCTTCAAACAACATTTGATAAGTGTTTGCAGGATAATACAAGGTTAGCTTTTAATTCTTATGGTTTTTGGGTTCTTTTTTAGACTCATTTATTTTGTTAGGTTCGGTACTACGATTTATATTCCTAGCTCATATTATGCAAGTTGCTTGCAGGACTGTTCGATCAAGTGCTGCTCTTGCCCTTGGTAAACTTAGTGCACTCACAACTAGGATTGATCCTTTGGTGTTGGTGATCTTTTATCTGCTTTACAGGTGGCATACTTCATCTTATGTTTTTATTTATTTATTTATTTATTTTTTTTCCTTCTCTTTTCTTTGGTTTTAACCTTCAAAATCTAATATTGTGGTCATATGGGCAGCAGTATTCCGATGTTGGAATTCGTGATGCTATTTTGACTGCTTTGAAAGGAGTGATTAAACATGCTGGCAAAAGTGTGAGCAGTGCTTCTAGAACACTTCTAGTAGCATAGTTCCAGACGGCGGCGGGCAAAACAGAAAAGCTTCTCTTTTTCGCTAAATGCCATACTGAATCAACCCAGTCAGGTGTCTTGGATCCATTGGTTCTGTCAAAATTGTAATTTCAAGCATTGCCATTTGGGTGTTCTCTCGATTCATTTTTCTGGCGAATTGGTTGATGGTTTGGTTTGGGCTTGAAATGCGCAAATTTGATTCATTCTGCTTAAAAACTGGTAAGGATAGACTCGTTTGGCTAAGTATTACACCCCCCTCAAGGAATCCGAGAAGCACAAAGTCGAAAACATGTTCTTGCTATGATATCTAGATTCATTTGTGTCATTAATGCTGAGTTTTAACATTCGATCTGGTTCTGGAGGTTCATCGTTTGGTCGTGAATAGAGACCCCAAATTCACCAACTATGTGGAGCTGAGAGTGTTAGAACTTTTTTTTGCACAAATCGTTCTATTGCCTCATGTAAAACTTTTCATGCAATGATAAGATTTGTGCTCTGTTGATTGTGGTGAAGAGCGGAATGAGAAGGAAATAGTTAATTGTTTCTCACCTGCTAGTTCTCTTCCACAGTTCTACTAACTAATCCAAGAATGAGATGGGATAAACCATACTGTTAATCCCCGAGGGTGTCGTTTTGAAGACACTTTTATAGAGTATGAGAGTGAATTCTTTGGTCCTGCGGGATTGTAATGGCTTGTAGTTGCTGTTTTCCTTGTCAGCTCCGAGCACACAAGATAATCTATTTATCTACAGGCTGTATGCTGGGCTATTTTTCTCGCTCTGTGTTGATATGACGGACAACGAGTTGGCTTTGGAGTGCATCCACTTGTTTGTGGAGATACTGGATCACTTCTTTGGTAATGTCTGCAAGTTAGATTTGGTCTGCAAGTTAGATTTGGTTTTTAACTATCACAAGGTATGGTTTGTCAGTCTTTCTCATAGTGAATCTCTGTATTTTCTTTTACTTCTAGTGTATTTACCTTGTGTATGCTGCATTGTTTTCCTATGAAGGTATATCTAATCTTAGATGAATTCGTTCTCACTGGGGAGCTCCAAGAAACAAGTAAGAAGGTGAGAGTAATCGCAAGAAGAAGGATTTTTCTTGCGCCTTATCCTTGTTATGGTGAATTGTACTTTGCATAGATTTTGCAGAAAAAATGAATGTTTGATTTCTGCTGAAACTGCAGGCTATCATGGAGAAGTTGGAGTGAAGATTGATGATCCAGGATGGGCCAACCTTCATCCATATTCCAAAGTATGCACCTTTTTCATTTGCTCCCCTTTGATCTTTCTGAACATTTAGGATTATGCCTGGAAAACATGAAACATGAAACATGAAACATTTGTCTCGTCAAAGATTATCTTGAAACGCTTACTAAATTCACAACGTATTGAAGTTATTTTGTATGATACGAAACATCATATGTATTGAAGGAAGCAATTTTGTTTGTGCCTTTCCTGTATGAAAAATTTCTTACTGCTTTCCTGAATGCAAGCAATAGATGAGATTGTTCCGACACTTCTGCATGCTCTGGAGGACTATCAAACCCTGACACTTCTGCATGCTCTGGAGGACGATCAAACCCTGGGCACCTTTTCTGATTTTTAAAATGTATTGGATGCTTCTTTCAGTGTCAGGACCAGTGCTGTGCTGCCTCATATCTTCCTAAGCTTGTTCACCTTCCCCTTTCGTAAGTATTGTGTCTGCTTATTATAGCTTTTTGTATAGAGTAGTATTTCTTTATTATTCACAATGATCTTTGGTTTTATATCCAGTGCCTTCATTGCACATGCACATGTCAGTGGAGCACAAGAATCATCTTGGTAGTCATAATATGCATTTTTCACTTTTCAGGTCTATATTGAGAGAACTCATTGAAAACCTGAAATTGATGGGACAAAAACATAGAAGATAGTGACATCGAGTCTGCACCTAAGCTCATGGAAGTTCCATTCCAGAACTGCAAAGGACAGGTCGATCACTGGGTTGAGCCATATCTCAGAATCTCAATTGAATGACTGCATCGAAGTGAAACACCATACTTGAAGTGCCTCCTGATCCAAGTGGTAAGATACTGAAATATTTCTCTGTTTATACATATTCATTTGTTTCCCTTGTTATTTTTTGTTTTTTTTTTTGTTTTTGTTTTTTTTGCTTTTTGTTTTTTGTTGTTGTGAAGTGTTTCCCAGTCTCTATAAAACATGGAGATTATGTGTGTACTGTTCCTTTGCATGATTAGAAGACTTATTTGTGGCTAATAACCTAACAAGTAATATTGTGATTTGAACTCGTTTCTTTGCCTTTGTTCCTATTGAGGAGGCATAGGTCACATTGGCATGTAAACGAGTTCAAATTTCAATGAAAGGTTGTGAGTGCATTTTTAAGGCCATTCTTGACCTCCTTGTATGCACATCGAGCAACTTGCTGGGTAAGTAACTTGCTGGTTGTGAGTGCTGTACTTTAGATGGTATATTCTCTTAATGTTTGATATCAGTTTCTACCTTCTCAAT